CCTCTTAGCGACGGCCACTTCACCACCAGAAGCAGGAGACTCGACGCCACGAGCACTGCTATCATCGCCGCCCTCTTCCTCCAGGGCCGCAGCCCGCGGGGCCTTCTTCTTCTTCTTCTTTGGCTTTACTTCTTCGCCCTCTGCTCCCTCGGCACCAGCATCCTTCTTGGGCTTCTTTTTCTTCTTCTTGACAACTGTGCCCTCGACATCGACGCCCTGTGCCACCTGAATGCGCTCGTTCGCGCGTTGCATCTCGAGGCGGAGTCGCTCGACTTCTTTCATGGCTTGCTGCATCTCAACTTCCTCACGCTGTTGCTGCTCATAGTCGAAACCAGTTGACGGTTGACCTTCAAGACTGAAGGAGCCAATGCCGCTCGAGTCTACGCCAAGTAGAGTCTGCTTGGCCTTGGGCTTGCGAGCCTTGGACTTTGTGAAGCTGTCAGAGTTATTCTCCGAGTCATAGGATCGAAGACCGCCACTTGCGCTGCCTTCGAGTGTCTCATCTGCGGCAATTACGACTTTTTGTCGTGGCTTTGGCTGTGGCCTTGGAGGCTGTGCAGCAGGCGTTCCGGCTCTTGATAGCTCTAGTTGCATGATAGGTATGGAGTCGATATCCAAGTCGGGCCCGTTGCTGCTCTGGAGAATGTTGTGAATAGGGGTCGAAGTGCGAGGAGTGTCGTTGCTGGGAATATAAAAGGGATCATCTCTGTTACGTTCGAGACGCTCGGCTTTTCTTCGAGCAACAATATCAGCATCCAGATACGTGTCTTCGTCAGCTTGCTGATAAGAAGTTGAGTATTCCTCAGTAGGTTCAGCTATCCTGCTGATGGCTGGTGCAGATGAATCAATGCTTGTAGGTGGTGGCTTCTGGTGGTAATATGTCTCAAACTCATCCGAGTCGTCTGTTGCTAACGTGATGGAGTCGGCTTCTGACAGTAATTTGGCCAGATTTGCATGAATGGGTTCATCCAAGTCCAGGCCCACGGGTACTGGGACGTTCAGCTGAGCACCCTTGGATACCGAGTTGAGTTCCCAGCCGTTGAAAAGCGAGGGAATAGCTTGAGTAAGGAGTAACGGGGGGTCTTGCTCGACATCGTCTGTCGACGCCGGTTGAGATGAAGCAGCTTCAGCCGTGAGCTTCAGCAACTCTGTGAACTCAACGGCTCGTTCCTGGACCTCAAGACTAGGGTGCAGTGCAAGAGGCTCAAAGACGTGGATAATGCGCGCCATAAGTAGCGATACCCTCGACTTTCTCTCTGCCGTCCAAGGCTCACTCTCATCCCCAACTATAGTGGCGAAAACCTTTGTGACTGCCTGTAGGGTCGTCGTTAAAACTTCAGGGTTATTCGTTCGGGGAATGAGCTGCAAGAGGCCATTCAGACCCTCATCTGGTACAGCTAATTGCGAAGCGTATTCACCCATGACCCATGCAACTGACTTGAGCGCCCCTGAAGTGATTTTGTATCCAGGCGGTGTATCTGTATTGAGCTGGCTGAGAATAATCTCTGCTGCCCTGACAGCCGTTGATCGCATCACCCGGACCTTGACAGCCACGTTGCGGAGCTCGTCACCGATCTTTTCAGACACGTTGGCCCTGGCCCTTTCAACTGGACCCAGATCATCATCGACCTTGCGAGAGGCGGGAGCCATACGAACAAGCTGTGTGAGGACATCAATGTACCAGTCAAAGTCTAAGACACTTGAGTAGTTGTCCTTGGAGCACATTCCCAAGATCCTTCCAATGACGTCGATTCGATAGTCGTCGGGCAAAGGAGCGGATTCGACCTTTGGCCTCGGGGCTGGTTCAGCAAATTCGTCCTCAGATTCGTTGGGATCATTCGGAGGAGTTCCAGGTAGTGACTTGTCGCGAGCCGGCATGGACGACTTGAGCTGCTTCATGAGGCGGCTCACGATAGATACGAGATTGTCGCCAGTCACCATGCCCTGGACCAAGTCGAGTGCTTGTATTCGGATAGTGATATCGGGGCTGTCGATACATTCCAGAATCACATCCTCCTGCTGAGATACTAAGTAAGGGTGTGTGGTAACGATCTTGTTGAACGCCAGCAGCGCAACATATTTGACTAAGTTGTGGTCAATATACATCCACTTTCAAGCAGCCACAGATGAACACTTACGGTTAGGATCGCCATCTATCATGACCATGCCTCGCAATTTGTTAACACATAGCGTTGCGATCTCATCAGTGCCAGAGTCATCAGAGTTTCCTAAGATGCCGCCTTGAATGATTCCATTGATGCACTCATAGAGCAACGACATAGCAGGAGTCGTCCTAATGATATTGGTCAGAGGAGGTAGCAGCTTTCTCACGAGTCGAGGTTCCAGCGGTGTCAAAGTGGCAAACTGAACAGAGATTAGTACAGCAGCACACGAGGTCAAGTGCTAATAGCTTACGAGTTTGATGAGTTTGATGGCCATCCAGTTATTACCACCATCAACCAAGAGCTCGAACAGTCGAGGAGCCAGAGGAAGAAAGTCATTCGGTCTTCGCCAGCCAAGCTCACAGACAACATTGACGATGGCTGCTGTGACACTGGGATCCTCATCAGGGTCCATGAGGCGCTCCTTGATCTTGGGCCATGCTGCACGAAGAGCCTCCGGGTATACCAACGCAAGGCGATATAGCGTCACCAGTGTCTTCTTTCGAATGTTCGAATGGCTGTGGCTTAATCGCGGTAGCAAGTCTTGCAATGTCGAGAGCGCTAACGAGGGGGTGATGACATGGGGAAGAGTGGCTATAGGGAGAGATATAACCGTCGGAGTCGTCGAACCAAGATCCTGATCATGATGTTAGCTAGAAGCATCAAGAAGCCCAGCATGTGACCAACAGACCTTCTTCAGCAGATTAGTAGCCAGCATCAGAACCTCAGTGTCGGGTCTAAAGCTCTGGACAGCTCCTAAATATCCAACTCGCTTCTGGTGGTACTTGGGCGACGACATGACCTCGAGGACGTGGAACGACGCCCACGACATATCATGTCCGACCATCTCCAGATAAATGAGCTTCAGCAGCGCCGTCGCCTTGAGATCTAAACAGCCAAAGTCAGATCCTCCGTATGGCTAGCTTCTCCCAAACATAGCATCAAACTAACCCATATCCTGGCTGCGAACTTCGGCGCGGCACTCCTTGAGGCTCTTCTGGATATACTCCTTCTCATTGCTCTTGTGGTTCCGTAGCCCCCGGATGAGGTCGTAGAGCGATTTTTCGAACCTGCGCGCACACGGTCAATGTCTTTCCCAAGAGGTCGATTCGGTGTTGATGTCGTAGCCTACATGGTGAGAAGCTGCCCCGCGGGCGTGGGGCCGACCGTTGGAGGAGATGCTTATTTAGGTGGTAGGACGTGGTCTCAGGGGCTTCGTGAAGGTATGTTCGACCGGCGCATCTCGTATATTATCGTGAGGAGGAGGATGGTTCCTTCAGCAGCGGATGTAGATGTCGCGTGCTGGTGAGAGTAGATGGGATGGATGGTTGGTGGGTGTTGAGTAAGGTACAGGTGCACTAAACTTAACGAGCACTGTAGGTAGGTACTCTACTGTACATCCAGTACAGCATGTGCGGCTTTAGGTTACTGAGTGAGCATGACGGAATCATCCACCGCCCTTGGCTCGGCGAGTAGGACGGCCCGAGCTGGGGAGTGTCTACAGCGGTCAAATCCCCTAACCTTACGAGCTTAGCGGACTACACTGCACCAAGCCAGCCCGAGGTGGGGGCGGGCGGAAAGCCTCCAACTTATTCTCGACTCAGTTTAACAGAGCCTCAACACCATCATAGATTTTCTGTCACAACTATTTATCCCCTCTGGGTAGACGTTCAATATTCTCTTCTAGACCATGAGACTCTCACGACGGTGACGCTAGATCAATATAATCCCGATAATCCTCTTGATACCCTCCAATGGCCCTCCGTTTCCTCCCCCCCAGAGCCGTTGTCGCCCGCTCATCGGCTTCTATATCGAGCATCACCAACCTCACTCGAGCCTCAACACCCCTGCACCGCTCATTCATCACCCTCCCGTCCTCCGAGCCTCAAAGATTAACGGCCAACCGCACTCTACCATACCCCCATGAACCTCTTTACGATCTCATAGCCGACGTGGATTCTTACTCATCGTTTGTCCCTTATTGCTCTCGCTCTCGAGTAACTCGCTGGTCCGATCCCGACCCCGATACCGGGCGACGCTACCCCACACTCGCCGATCTACATGTCGGATGGGGAGGCTTCGACGAGGTCTTTACAAGTCGATTGCGCTGTGTTCCTGGCCAATCTGTTGAAGCCATCAGTGGGGAGACTGCTCCGGGGGGTACAGGGCCTGACGCATCGGCTGTCTTCCGAAGCCTTGTGACACGCTGGTCCGTGAGACCAATATCTGGCCCACCTTCACCGCACACTGAGGTCAATCTCTCTATCGACTTTCAGTTTACAAACCCACTCTATGGTGCTGTAAGTGCTGCTGTGTCAGACAAGATCGCCAGCATGATGATAGAAGCCTTTGAGAAGAAGGCCTTTGAGAAGCTGGGACCTCAACGGAAACTCTGATGTTGCCTACCTACATACAGTAGTGTTTGGGATTATACCCTCATTCCCCCCTCATATAAATACCTTGAAGGAATCTAGAAATAGTCTAGACTAGATTACTTGCATAGACTCAGGTGGGCATACCACGATTTACTTAAAACATGCACGACACAATAGAAGGGGCCATGAAAGGTACCATACCCAACTCACTCATGTCGATCAAAAACAAGCTTAACTTAAAACAAATCATTCTTCTTCCTACTCCATTCATTCTACGTGACGCGTGTCTAGGACGGCCGTGTCTATCAAACGTGCTCGTCCGCCATATCCAAATCAAAACCAAGACCAGACCAGACCAAACCAAACAGACAGATAATAAAAAACTAGAGCGTCATCTTTGCGCCAATACCTCGACTTGATCAGCTTCAGGCGAAAACCGAGCCAAGATAGCCGACACAAGTCTTCAACATTGGATCGTGTTCCCATTCCCTCCATATCGTCGTTTCAACCATATCATCATACTCCGATCCACATGCATATAGGACAATTCGTGACGCCTCTGCGATATGAATACGCTAACCATGAGTTGGGAAAGGATCAAAATTCCGCTGCCTCGTTTTTCCATCTCAAACAATAGTAGAAAATCCCAGAAGAAACTGCCAAGGAGATGTTTTTGAAATCAGGCCGGCAACCGATGCCGACAAGGTATCTGCGAATAGACAAGTAAGACTGTAATATTAAATCAATCTCAAACGTTCATTTCCTCATCGGCATGGAATCTCATTTCTTGCTAGGCCTGGACAATCGTTAGCTTGTTGTCTCAGTAGTTAGAGGACTCGAGAACTTACTTCTTCTTTTGAGGTTTGCCAAACAGAAAACCTGCCATTCCTGAGTGATCCTTGGAAGCCTTCTTGTGCTTGCTGGACTTGCCAGTATTAGGGCCAACTGTGACAACGTTGGGCGGCATTGGCATATCAGGTCGAACACCTCCTCCGACAGGCCATCCCGCGGGTGGTCGAACTCCTCCAGGTGGCATACCGCCAGGAGGCATCATGGGAGGTCGCATGCCTGCGCCCATGGGACGGGGTGGAATAGGAATAGGGCCACCGTGCTTGTGTCCATGCATGCCCGGCGCGCCAGGCATCTTGGGGTGTCCCAGCGGAGGCATCTTATCCATTGGCCACATCGTCATGGTGATAGCCCAGTCAGGCTGAACCACCTTCTCCCAAACGGATGGCAGGATGATCTCGCCATCGGGGCCGATAAGATCATAGTGTCCTTCCATTACATGAGGACCCAGAACATCAACTTGCATGAAAGCCTGCTTGATGAGATCTTCCATACCCTGCAATATCGTTAGCCATCGCTCGTCGACTGTCCTAATCCGAAGTACATACCTGCCAAGTGGCACACAAGTGGAAAGGGAAGCTAAACTTTCGACCAACCGCATCCTTGAATCGGATTGGGGCCTGCTCAGCCTTCTTCTTAGACTCTTCGAGCTTGACCTTTGTCTCTTCTTCAATTTTCGTCTTAAGTTCTGCGGCGGCTTTCTTAGCGGCTTCCTCGGCTGCGGCAGCTTCTGCTGCCTTCTTATTTTCCTCCTCGATTTTCTTAAGGGTCTCAGCCTCAGCCTTCGCGCGAGTTTCTTCTTCGAGCTTCTTGAGCTTCTCGGCTTCCTCGGCCGCTTTCTTTGCGGCGGCTTCCTTAGCCTCTTGCTCAAGTCTCATGAGGCGCTCGGCTTCCTCTTGGGCCTTCTTCGCGGCTGCGGCCTTTGCCTCAGCTTCCTCTTGTAGTGCCTTCTCAAAGCGAACTCGAGCAAGCTCTTCAGCACGCTTTCGCTCTTCCTCCTCCTTCTGCCTCTTCTCCTCAGCAGCCCTCAGTTCAGCCTCAAATTTCATTCGAGCTTCTCTTTCGGCCCTGACCCTCTCTTCAGCTTCTCTCTTACCACGCTCCTCCGCTGCCCTCAATTCAGCCTCGAGCTTCAGACGAGCCTCTTCTTCGGCCTTGGCCTTGGCTTCCGCCTCTGCTTTGCGCTGTTCGGCGGCTGCCTTCATCTCGGCCTCATACTTCTCTCGGGCCTCCCTTTCTGCTTGTGCGCGCGCCGCAGCCTCAGCCTGTCGTTGTTCTTCAGCTGCCTTCGCTGCAGCCTCGAACTTCTTTCTGGCTTCTTCTTCAGCTTGGATGCGAGCCTCTGCCTCTGCCTTTCTTCGGTCTTCAGCGGCCTTCATCTCTGCTTCGAATCTGAGACGAGCCTTCTCCTCGGCTTCTGCCATAGCGCGAGCGTGTTCCTGTGCGCGTTTCTCTTCAGCCTTTCGTTCGGCTTCCATTCTTTCTCGGGCAGCCTTTTCTGCCTCAAGCCTGGCCCTTTCGATCTCTTTCTTGGCTTCCTCTTGGGCCAGTCTCATATCCTCCATTCTTCGAGTGAAGGCTTCCTCAGCTTCTCTTCGGATTTGCGCCTCAGCTTCCTTTTGCTTTTCGGCAGCCTTGACTTTCTCCTCCATAGCCTTAAACGCAGCAATCTCAGCTTCCAATCGAATCTTCTCCGGATCCTCTTTTGGAGGAGCGGGTGTGGCTGGCTTGGCAGGAGCCTCAGTAGGCGGAGGAGGTGGTGGTGTAGTGAGTTGCCCAGGTGGTATTCCAGCCATGTGGGGTGGCCCGTAGAGGGGATGAGGCTGTACGGCGCCATAGTAACCACTTGGAGGTTGCTGGTAAGGCATCAGATCATACATGCCTCTACCTTCTCCTCCATAGCCAGCACCGTAAGGGCTGGCAGGGTCACCGTAGCCAAACGGCACCATCTGGCTGTTCGCAGGGTATCCCATATAGGGTCCCATTTGGTTTTGGTATCCTGGTTGCTGGCCTCTGCCGTACATTTGACCCGGGCCAGGGCGCCCGCTGGGTTGGGGATGCCCATATGCGCCACGGCCATAGGCGCCATACCCACGAGGATCTTCCAGATTGGCGGTGGGTGGCGCTGCACGATCGCGCCGCGGTCGACGATAAGACTGTCTGGGCTCCTCTTCAGGTTGGTAAAGATCCTGGGGAGGACCTTGTTGACGGGGTTGCAATTGATGGGGTGGCGGTTGGCGACCAGGCAATTGCTGGTGATGAGCAAGCTGCTGATGGTGTGGTGGTGGATATTGAGGTTGAGGCGGAAGCTGGTGAGGAGGGAGCTGATGCTGACGCTGAGAGAGGTGATGACGATAATGTTGGTCGTGGTCGCTAGTTGAAGCAGAGTCAGACGGGCCAAGACCGTCGTCGTCGTCGTATTCGTCGTCGTAAAGGTCTTCTTCAGAGTCGGTGTAGTCCTGGCTGGTCTCCTGCGAAGAATCGTCGCTGTAAGATGCTGTCCCAGAGGCGGACGTCTCAGTAGGACGAGTGCCGGAGGTAGGGGCTCTGGAAGAAGGGCGTTGTTTGAGCCTGGTAAGATGAGAGAGTGAGCTGTTTGGTCAAGAGAGTAATGCGCAACAGATGAAGCGCAAGTGTAGGAGAGACAAGTAAACAAAGCTAGAGGGGGGCGCAGTTGAGACAACTAGTAAGGTGGATATGAGAGAGACAAGAAGGGGGAGGGAGGGGAGGAACGCAAGCGCTGAAAGATATGGGTAGGATGGTAATGGAGGGAGGGGACTCACATAGCAAATACTTGGTGGGATGCCCTCTACCCACGACAATCCACAGGAGAAAGCCGGAGTAAAGGCGCAGAACGCAGGTTGGAAAGGAAGAAGATAGGCAACAAGCACAAGTAATGCTCAGCTGACAGGGTAGAAACAATGCCTAGCAACCCCCAAAGTAACAGAGCCAACGATGGGGGGAAACGGAGGACGAGGTCGTAGCCGCAGTAAAAGAAAAAAAAAACACAACGGCAAGTGTTTTGGTACGAGGGTCGTGGCGAGGAAGAATTGGACTTGCGCGACAGGCGTAGAGTGAGGGGTCGTAAAATTAAGTGAGTACGCCACCAAAAGATGACGAGGGCGTGACAGCGGAAGGGAAAGGTCGGCTGGTCACGAAAGCAGTGAGACGGGGGAAATGCCTGCTTGTGAAGCTGGTGCGGAGTCGCAGAACAAGAAATGAACGATGGTGCGTTGTGGTTGCTGACCGAGGAGGGTACCAAAGTTGTATCTAGCAGAGTGCTTGCTTGCTGTACGGCGCACGTTAAGATCAGGCGCAAAAGAGTGTGGGCGGGGTGGATTCAGGCGGCGGTTGCGAGGATGGAAAAGCGGCAGAATCGATCGGCGGTGAGGGGTTCCAGATCGTTTGCTGATGGACCACTGGTCGAAATTCCGACCAATACAGTTGAGAGCGGCGTTAATAATGTCTGTAGAGGTCGAATTGATGTTTTGCGCGCAGAGAATCAGGTCTTTGTCTGACCAAAAGATGAATTGACAAACAACCGCTCCAGAGTGAATCGACTGAAACGACGAACGACCGTTGTATCGCAACGGTGAAAGCTTGTCGAACCAGAGCTGTGGGTGTGCGTGTAAGTAAAGTATACTCTAAAATTCGGGTGTGTCCGTACAGTCTAAATTTTTGAAGAACCAACTTCGTGGTCACAGGATGCCAGTCCGAGCTTCGTGTGTTGGAGGAAATCAATGATTCCAACTAGGAAGACGACAATCAGTTAGTAAAGTTAAACACAACGTGAAAAAATCATCTAGATAAAATCTTGAAGAGTGAGTATCCCGGTTGGTCAGGATCTTTCTCCCTTGCATGAGGACTCAGCAACATAGCGGCGCGGAAAAGTTTCCTGCGAACCCAGTCCCTCAACTTGAAACGGTGATCTGAACAAGACAATGGGTTGGATCTCGGCTTGAGCCTAGAAGAATAGCGTCGATTGAGCACCAACACAACGCTCGATCACCAAAGTTTCCTGCATCGCGAAGCCATGCCATGTGCTCGCTGCGCTGGGAAGACTTGCTGGGCACCAAAACACCCATGGTTCTTGTCAGCCGCCCTGAACTGGGGCACCCTGGTTCGTCGCCCTGTCGATGGAGTCGGTGGGGACCCTGCTAAAGCATCCATGCTGCTAGCGCTCGTTGGGCTGGAGTTGGCGGGATGTTTAGGCGGTCCATCGATCTGAATGGCCGTGCTTGAAGCCCCCCTAGGCTCCCCAAACTCCCGGTTTATCCCAGGCGTCCGCTGCCATTTCCAGTCTGTCAAATGGCTCTCCCCTGTGCCCGTCTACGTTTTGGGTCTTCGTAGGCTGGTCACTGGTGGTAGGGCGTCAAGGTCTGTGAAAGCATTTGCCCAACCCTATGTGGGGGCCAAAAAGAGCGAGCCTCAAAGCCTAATGGTCCCGTTGGTCATGGAAAGGACCTAGAGCTGTGGCAGGGAAGGGAGAGTGGCAGTGGCAGTGGTGATGTTACAGCAAGGACAAAAGTATTGTAGCATCGCCGTAGGAAGGGCAGACCGCAACGAGGTACGACAAAGAGTGCCTGAGAGGTATTGCGGACTATGTGCGGCGGTGTTTCTTTGGTTCGCAAGCAGAGTGGGCAGGGCCATGAATGAACGAGTGAATGTCATGCAGTCATTGACCTGCTTCCCGTTGATGCTAGCTAAAAGCTGTCGCCGGGGCATATTTGCTTGCTCAGCTGTTTTTGACATGACCAGTGACGATCACATGGACCATCGTTTCTGGAGTTGAGCCCACCCCCAGAGATACATCCGAGACAAGAAAGGTGTTCATGCGGAGAAGATAGAAAGAGAAAGAAGATGAAGCCAGAGAGGGAATAGTAGACATTATCGGAGTCAATACATACCTTGCAGCAGGATAGTTTGATGCTTGTTTGAAGATCTTGATGAGACAAGTTTGATAGACAACAAGAAGACAAGTATAAACCAAAAATTCTATCAACAAAAGCGTTGTTGTTTGGTGGATTGTTTTTGTGTGAATCGGTAGTGGACGGTAACCAGCTTGTTTAGCGGGGACTTTGAGCCCAGATGGAGGAGGGGGTGGTGGGGTGAGATTAATGCCCTGTACTGTAGGTAGGTAGGTACTATTTGTAGTAGCCCGAAGGGTGCAAGTGGGAGGTGCGTGAAGGACTCAAGATCCAGTTTCATTCGGTTAGATAGGGCATGGGTCCATGGGATGAAAGACTTCTTTCAGTGAGACAGATTTCGAGTTATACGCACAACAAATAAAAACAGGGAAAAAGGGAAAAAGGGAAAAAAACAAGGAAAATGACAGCAAAACAGAAAGAAAGAAAAAAAAGGAGGCCGAGGGCCAGACTCTCTCTGGCTCTGACTCTGACTCTTTCTCTTCAGCTGGGCTGCAAAAGGATCCAGGGATGCCATGGCGGTGCTGCAGCCCAACGTTACGCAGCCTCCAGTCAAAGATTGGATACACAAATTTTTTAGTTGCTGGGGAGGCAGGCACAGAATTCCAGTGAATTGCGGCGTGAATCGCTGACCGCCAAAATGATATCGTTGTCTTATTTTAGCGCCGAGGTCAACCGTTTGCTGTCGAACCCAACACTACCAGCTTCAATAGTGGACATCATCTGTGTTGTAGACGGGATATACCGGTAGATATCGCGTTTCAACCTGGAGATATACTGAGTTTCTGATATCATCATGAAACAGGTAATCGAACATATCTCAAACAGAGAGTTCCTGTCCGACAAAGGCTGTGCAACGTCATTGTCCAATGACATATCATATTCGACCGTTTGCGAAACGTGAAATCGGAACGGACCGAGGCGCAGTGTCGCTATCCGAACTAAAAAAAATCACTGTATGATTGAAGGGATCAATCAGTCATACAGTATCAGATAGAATAATAGGAGAGAAAAAAGAAGAAAGAAACCTCAGGCATTGGCAAACTACGAGGCCCTTATATCCCCAATTCACTGTCATTTTTGAGTTCTGTTTTCCCCTTCTTCTCTCAGTCAACGAGAACGAAGCAAACCTATCGCCTCGCAATGATCCTCTTCAACCCGCTGCCCCCCATTCCGCGACTGGCTAAAAGGCACGATTTGCGCCCCATTTCCAGCGTTGAGGCCCGAAAGGAGGAACCCAAGGGCCAGCTCATCCATCGCAAGGCACCCACAACAACTCCGTGAACTGCAACAATCAACAACAGGGTTTTCATCATGGTTGTGATCAAAACTGCTGAGATTTACATCCAGTTCAAAGTCTTGAGCGCTTGTGTAGAGATGTTGAATTGAGGTAACTCATATTTGCACATACTCATCTCAACTTGATACCACCTAGCCAGGAATAGCAGACACCAAATATTAGCATTTCCACCTTCCCGCAGAGCCTCAGCCACCCAGGCGTGGCCAAGTGGACAGTGGCAAAGAAATTATAACGCATTTTCACCATCAAGTGACTTCCATCTGACACTTTCTAACAGTCTATCCCCTGTCACTATAAACTCGGCGATGGAAACAGCCCAGGTGAAGTGTGGCTGAATAAGCCTGTCGAAGAGGTATCAAAGGTTTGAAGAGTGCGAATCCCATATTACAAAGAATGAGTTAAGACCAGGTTACCAAGAGACTCAGACTCAGGATGTAAGTTGAGCTAGTGATTAACCATCGTCTCCCTGGCGCCATAGCGGCTCGCTTGCAAGTGATCCATAATCAGGGCCATCATCGGCATTCCACGGGGAATAAACATCATGTTCCGCATTCAACGTGGAGAAAATCCATCTCTCTTGGTTTCGAGTTTCAATGCCAATCGTGTGCTGGTCGCTGTGAGACCTGAAGCATCGTGTATTCTAACCCTAAGACCAATCTTGGTAGCACTCAACGACGCCCCTTGGGGTATTACAGAAGGGAACCGAAGCTGATCCCTCTGTTGCATGTTGTAAATTTCTGCCTAAGCCAGCAGTTGGTAT